CCCCCCCTAACCCTTACTATCGTCATTTTCCTCTACTGCTTTTGTTGTATGTTTGCCACGCTCTTGTGGCTCGCTATTTCCGGGATGCCTTGATAGTCGAAGCAGAATTTGTGCTGTTGAAGCTACAGAGGTGAGCAGAGTAGATCTAAATCTGATTCCCTGTAAGGACTTCTCTGTTCTATTGACATCCACCCCTTGGCGCTCATATTATGACCTTTTGCAGTTGCGAGTGCCGTAGAACCTCTGCTAAAACAAACAACCAAGTTGGGTTTGTTTCGTGGGTGGTTGGCGGGTGCTCTGGTGTGGTTTGCTCCTTTCAAACATATTCTATCGTCTTGATCTCTCCTCCTCCTTTTTTCAAGTTAAAAGAATGCTCTGGTGTGGTTTGCTCTCCTTCTTTCCTATCAAACATCTATCGTCGTTATCTCTCCCCCTTCTTTTTTTAAAACAATTTTTTTTACTGTCTTGTAACATCTCTAATCTTTGGCACGTATATATGACCTAATCGTGTTGCAAGTGCCATGAAAAGTTCACTAAAACAATAAATAAGCACAGTTAGAGATTGTTTCAGAATGATATCAGGTCTGCTGGGATAATAATATTAGATTGTGAAGCGCATATATAGCTTGATATTGAGCGAGAATTTACCATACACAAATGCTATCTATTTTCTGATAGTACTTATGTGTCTTGCTCTCATTGCTGTCCTAATGTGTATGTGATTAATGGGATTAATGTATGGTTAGGAAAGTTCTTCCTTACGTGGTTGAACTAGTTAAGGCCTACTTGTGTACGGGGATTCAGTTTCTCTTCATTGCTGTAGCTATCCTCTCCTGTTCTTTATGGATTAAGGAAGTTGTGGTTTTAACTTGTCGTAAATTACAACTTTACCTCAACTTACCTTAGCGGGTGGTTGGAGAGCGCCACTTTTAGATCCTACTTCTTTTCTTTTCCTATGTTGTCTTGCTTCTTTCCAGCACCATATGAGTTCTATTGTGTCGATGTGCTTCTCTTTACTCAAACTCAACTTATCTTCAACAAAATAACTACAACGTAATGCAACTTAAGTACAACTGAATTAAACTACAGTTCGAGGGTGTGCTGTTGGTCCAGGTGTGTGCTTGACCTTTAGTGTGGATATCAAATATCTGTCGTCCTCATCTACTTTCCTCCATCTTTTAGTTTTTGTTAGTCTCCAGTAGCACCTCTAATCTTCGGCACGTAAATGATCTAATTGTGTTTCAAGTGCCGTTACAGTAAGAGTTTTACAGCTTTTACTAAAACAAGCAAATGCCGTAAAACTCTTACTATTACTGGGGCAAAACGTTCCGCAGATTACAGTCCTTACATCTCCTCCTTTCGTGTGCGTGTTACTAGCTTATGATACCTCTTATCTTCGGCACTTGTATGACCTAATTGTGTTGCAAGTGCAGTAAGACTCTTACTATAACTGAGATAAACGTTCCGCAGATTACTGGCCAACCCCCAGGACTCGTCGAGCCGCGAGAGTTCCGAGGCTTCTCCTTCTGTGGACCTGGCCAAGGACCCGCCGCTCTCTCTGCAGCAACAACAGCACGCCGTGGCCGCCCTGGCCGCCCGCTCGGGCCTGACGACAAACGCCAGCGTTCCGCCGACACCGCCGCCCACCGCGTCGTCCCCAGTCTGTTGGAAAAACTCTGCGCCGCTCACGTCACTGAGCGCGTGGTCTACCCTGATGGCAGCTTCCGTGATCCACTCC